TATATTTTGACCATATAAAATATTCATACAAAAAGCAAATTTCATCTATACTTAATTTTTCTAAAATTTGTAAAATGTCATTAATTATTATTTTTATATAGACGTGAAGGATTTAAATCAAATTAGTTTCCGGTTTGAGTAGAAGATTTAGTTTGGAACATAATTATAATTAAATCCATAAAAATCAGTGTTAACGACTTAACGTAAAAGTTGGGTCAAACCATCTCAGACTTAATTATGACTAAAACCTGCCACAATAAAGAGATATTTTCCGAGTCACTTTCCCTTTTTCTCCCGTCTTAGACTGTTCCGTTTCCGCGACCAACAATCGCTCCGGTGGTGGCGACGACGGCAGGAGACGTTGTCGGAATTAGGGTTCCGATTTGCTCATTGTTGTTCCTCTTAGTCTTGTTGCTATTGGAGAAGCTATGGTGAGGAAGCACGGTTGGCAACTCCCAGCTCACACACTTCAGGTAATCGAGCTTGATTCGACGGTGGTTTCGTAGAATTCTGGGTCAATCGAAAGTCACGAATAGCCTGCGATGTAATTGACGATGCGATAAAAAATGGTTTTGTGATACAGGTGATTGCGATTACGGTGTTCTGTTTGTTGGTGGTGGCTTACTATGCTTTCTTCGCTCCTTTTGTCGGAGGCCGGATTTGGGAGTACGTTTTGGTCGGTGTTTACTCTCCGGTGGTATGTTTTTAATGCTTCTCAAGCTGCATACTTCCTCCCATTCTAGTTAAAAGTTTGAAAATGTGTCTAGCGACTTGAGTTTTAGGATGAAACCATATAGCCAAGATAATACAAATGGGTTTTAGGATATTTATGAAGATTCATCACGAGTTTCAGGCTCCATAGCCATGCCCTTGAGCTTCTGAGCTAAAAAGGCGAGAGATAATGCTTATCATTGTTAAGATCAATACACGATTAATCATGTCTAGCCTAATGTAACCTAGCCTCTATAAGTGTCAGTCATACATACTTACCTCATTACTCAATGTAACAAGTTGATGGTTTATTATTTTTTATCTTAGGTTTAATGTTGTAAGGGAACTAGTATTAGTTTAGATAACCAGTAAACCAATTGATAGCTACGGATATTACTGCATAGGTGGCTGATCGTATTAAGGACCCCATTGCTTTTTATGGGATTATCATATCTGACAGCTTTCTTCATGTATCATGTGTTTTGTAGGCTATTCTTGTTTTCGTTCTGTATGTTCGGTGTACTGCAATCAATCCTGCGGATCCAAGAATCATGTCAATATTTGATACAGGCATAGACAGAGCTGATATGGATCATGCATTATCGGCTAAGGATATCTCCAGGAATTTTGATGAAACTGGGAGTCAGTTGCAGTCTTCTCCATCAGTTGTCAGCAGGAGTTCTACCTTAGCACCAAACTCTAGTGTGAAAGGTTCTGTAGGAGATGCTCAAAGAATTGACACTCAGCCTAAAAAATATTGCTATAATCCTCTGGCTATCTTCTGCTGCGTGTTTGTTCTTGAAGACTGCCGAAAACAGGAAGAGACGGCTGAACAACAAGGAAACAGCGAAGAGGCTCTGTTTTGCACATTGTGCAATTCTGAGGTATAGTAACATGGTTCCAAGCTTCAAAAAGCTACTTCATGTCACCATGGTTGTATATGTCATGTGCTCTTTAATATAAATGTCAATATCCTGCATGAGCACAAAGAGTTTTGCTTTAGATTTTAGATGTGTACGCCTTTTTGTTCTGAACTCTATATATTTCACAGGTACGCAAGTTCAGCAAGCATTGTCGGAGTTGTGATAAATGTGTTGATGGTTTTGATCACCATTGCAAGGTAAACTTTCTGACGTTTCAAATGTTTTTCTTGCAATCAGTTGCMTATTTCGGGATATTTGACTGGATTTCATGGGTTCCGTAGATGACATAGTTGTATTAAATGGTGCAGTGGCTTAACAATTGCGTTGGTCGTAAAAACTACATAACTTTCATCTCTCTGATGACTGCCAGTCTTCTCTGGGTATGTATATGCCTCATATGTGCTATTTTTTGAACTTATTTCTCACTTAAACACTAACAGATTACGCTTTCTCCCTCAGCTCGTTATTGAAGCAGCAGTTGGAATTACAGTTATAGTGCGTGTATTTGTTAATAAGAAGAGCATGGAAACCGAAATTGTCAATAGACTTGGAAATTGTTTCTCTCGTGCACCGCTTGCAGCAGTTGTTGTAAGTATTCTTGGCGTAATGCCGTTGCTTTGAGTTCTTGCTGTTAATGTTTCTAATGTCATACATGCAAATTATGTAGGGTCTTTGCACTGCTGTTACCATTTTAGCATGTTTTCCACTTGGTGAACTTCTCTTTTTCCACATGCTCCTCATTAAAAAGGTCAGTGGGAACAAAGCTAATTCTACTTTTATTTACTTATAACACTGATAGTTTTCTTACGGGCAAGATATTGTGCTAAGACTTTTTAGATAGAAGTGAGTAGCACAAGAGATCAATGCTCTTCATTGTGTTTAGGTTGTACTTGGATTATTTTTGTTTGACTGCCTTATTCAGCCTTATATCTTGATGTTCACTTTTCCCCATTGTATTACAGCCATCTGAACCATTGTCCGTAACTCGTTTGATAATTTAGAAGCTCTAACTGTCGTATTAAACTTGTGTTTATAAGTTGCTGATGGCACCTTCCAATATTAGCAATATATATCAACATACATCTTCTGTTTAATATTGGCAGGGGATAACAACATATGAGTATGTTGTGGCGATGAGAGCCATGAGTGAGGCTCCAGCTGGAGCATCTGTTGATGAGGAAATTCAGGATGTGCTCTATTCTCCCACCGGGTCCACCACAACCGGCTTTAGTGGTGGAAGCTCTCTCGGTCTACCATACAAGGGGGTCTGGTGCACGCCACCTAGAGTGTTTGTTGATAATCAGGTACTTTTCCAAAACATCCAGACTGTTTTTTATCGCATGTCTAATCTCTTGTGAAAGTCATTAGAGTTTTGGTTGCAACCGTTGGGCTACGTAGCTCATATACATGATTTTGAATGTCTAGGTGTCCATGGGATCAATCACTATATATAACCGTGAAAGCTGAGGCTTTTCAAGAAATGCGTTAATTGTTGCATACATGTACTGCTTAACTGAGATGATTTTCAGGTATTGACATGCCAATTCACTGAGTTTTTCCATTGCAGGATGAAGTCATTCCCCATTTAGACCCTCACACGATCCCGTCGACTGTAGATCCAGATGCAGCAGAGAGAGGCATCAAGGCTCCAAGAAGACCCATCAAACGTAGTGCATGGAAGCTCGCCAAATTGGATGCTACTGAAGCTGCAAGGGCAGCTGCCAGAGCCAGGGCATCCTCATCTGTCCTAAGACCGATAGACAATCGCCATTTGCCTGATCATGAACTTAGTTCCAGTGGCACAGCTAGTATCATCAGTAGTGTAAGCACAGATGCGAATGTGGCAACAAGAAAAGAGATACAGAACAATGATCCAAGGTCATCTCTATCTAGAAAGTCGTTTGCTCCAAGCCAAGGTAGCCGGGATGAGTATGACACAGGGAGCCATTGTTTGAGCAATTTTAGCAGTTCAGGCGATGTTCACGAGTCTGTCACACTTGCTCCTCTCCCTCAGAATCCTACGTTAAGTGGCCATCGCTTCCCTGGAACAACTCATCACATGCACTCGACGTTTGATGAAAAAGTGCTGCATAGAGGAAACGACACTGATCCACTGTTTAACTCTGCACCCGCAACTTCTCTTCTGAGAGATGTGAGGAAGACGTCAGTTGTTTGGGATCCAGAAGCTGGGAGATATGTATCAGCTCCTGTAACAACAACATCTGACGTACGCAACAGATTAACCTCTCAGAACCTGCCAAATTCAAGACTCATTGTTCCACCGCAAGATTCTTCTTTTGGATCATCAGCACTAAGGGCTCCTCTCCCTCTGCACGAAGCCGAGAGAAGACTGACATATACAGGTGACTCTATCTTCTTTGGAGGACCTCTGATTAATATMCCAACTAGAGATAACCCGCGCGAAAGGAGCTCGGTAAGGGAAGGACAAGAAAGATTGGCATCAACACTTCACCGAGATGCAAGATTCAGAAGGGATTCAACCTCAAACCAGCTTCCGGTGTTTACCCCTGGAGGTCACGGGACAAACTCGCAACCTGGTTCTACCATCAAGTAGATAAACCAACATGATTTCTTGAAAGGCTCTGATCTTCTACAAAACGCCTTATCAATTCCTGGAGAGGCTCGAAATCGAAGGAACATGTTCTGTGCTGTGTTGCAGGAACCCTGAGGATTGAAATTGAGTTTCCGAGTCACTGGAATGTGAGCCAAGATCGCGCTCATTTCTTGGTGTTAAATTAGGA